GAGAAAGAGAAGTAGAGAAGTAGGAAAAACACTTCTCTATCACAGTCCCCTCCTTAGCTGTGATCCCGCATGCTCACCTTTTTGCCCCCTTGCTCCACCACGCGCCCATCAGGGTGGCGCGTCGCCGCCGCGCTGCTTGCTGCGACAGGTGCTGCCGTGCTGTTCGCCTCGACCAGCCGCGACGCGAACTTTCTGCGGCACTACGATGAGGCCGACGCGAGCTCGAGGCTTGCTTCGATGCTCGCTATGATGCGCGCTCCGTCCAATGTATCCTCGGCGGGGTCGCAGCTGCCTCTGCGCGTCCTGGGGAGGTACATTTGTTGCGCGCCGGAGACGACTCGACGTCGCTGAGATCGGAGATCAAGATCTGACAGGTCGCACGTCGCTCCTTTGACGCCGACGTGACTCACCCGTGCAGATCACATCATGACACGGTCTCGACGCGCTCGGTACGACGCCTGCGACCCGTCTCGGGTCAGGTGGCACGACGCTCATCGCGCCTACCAGCGCTGCCGTACAGGTTGCCACGACGAGGTCGAGCACGCTTCTATACGCTCCGCCCAGCCTTCCTTTCCATCCCATAAGGTAGCCTGGGAACGGTGGCGGTCAGAGGCAAAGCCTACGAGGGGTGGTGGAACCACATGTCACGGCTACTGCCGGCTCGACCCCACGATAGCCTCCGAAGGCTGACTTTGCGGCACCATCATCGGACGATGTCGACGAGTTGGGTCGCTCTCGCGGTAGCCAGATGACCTCCCATGCTAGTACCATCGGCTAGGGCCGCAGGGAGCGCGGGGGAGGGCGCTGGGAGCAACACGGAGCTCCGTTGGAGACGTTTTCAAGATTAGCGTGTCAGAGTGAAATGGAACTAGCCAGTAGAGGTCTCCGTGAGTGGGCGCGCAGGCGCAATCCGGCAATCATCCCGGCGATGCGGTTGGTGTTTGGTCGACGCAGCTTCCTCCGTCTGTGCAGCGCGGACGGACCGCTCCAGGACCCTCGGGCGGCCGGACCGAGCGACGCCGACGCACCGTGGGACCCGCTCAGCCTGGAGCCGCCCGGCGAGGACGCCGACGGCTACATCCGGTCGTGCTGCGGCGGCGCCCAAGGGCGCGCCTTCTCAGGGATGTGCACCACCGGAGTCAAACACGAGATCGACAACATTGTGCAAAAGAAGAACCCGACTACCCGCTTCGTTTCGTTCATCGACGACATGGTTCAAAACGACACCGTGGCAGAGGCCGTCAAGTCTTACTGCGGAGAGGGCGGGACACTCGAGGTGCAAAAAGATGTCGCTGGCAACCTCGACAACGAGGAGAAGTGCATCGTCTACTCTCCGAGCGGCGACCTCGACTGCGTACCCCCCTTCATGGTCGGCTCGCCGCACCACCGAGACGAGGACGGGAACCTCACCGGACGCGAGGCTTGCTTCAAAATCGTCGGAACCTACCTCGGCGACACAGAGGCTGCCTCGGAGGCGATTGGCAAACGACTCGCCAAAAACCTCCGTCCGCTCGACTTTATCGACACGCTCGAATGCACCGAGGGCATTCAGAACGT